ATTATAACAACTTTTATTATTCTCTTTTTTTTTATTATAATACTTGTTTGATTTAAATGAAACTCAAGGATAGTTATAAAAGACATATTTTGCAGTAATTTTTCCATTTCTTTTGCTACAAGTACATAAACTGAACGCAATGTCAATTTACCTCTTGCCAACGAGACCTGATCTCCCCTACTGCTTGGAGACCGACACTCACTGTATTAAGTTTTCGGAGCGCTCGCTATCTGACGCTGCACAAGAGGCCAAGTCATCGCTAAAATCGGCAAAAAAGACGCAGGAGAATTTGAATGTGGAAAATGAAATCTACGGTGCAGGCATTGCCGACTAGAGGTATATAAAAATTTATACTTTTTTAATATACTTAAAACTTTAAATGCGTTTTTTTCGAAACAACATTTTTCGAGTTTGCCAGAAACAGAACTCGAATAGTTTTTGATCGATTTATTTCAAATTTTTACAGTAGCATCGTAATTAGATTTTACACAAAAGTACGTAAGGGATTTTTTTATATCTTGTCAACTTTTTTTGTTATAAACAATTTACGGTAAAATTTTTTATCGAAAAATGAATTTTTTTTCAGACAAGTACTATTTTTTCAAAATTCAATGTTTTCAAAATCCTCTTTCTGTAGCAAATCATATATAATTTTAAAAAAAATTTTGATTTTTTTGTTCCAGATTATGGGAGAAACTTTTTCAGCCGTGAAGCTCCTTCGGCGAGAGGTGGTCTCGAAATTTGTATCATGTAGCCGAAATATAAAAAAATTTTTTTTTATATTTCAAAACATGTATGTATAATAAACTCCTATAAACAGATTTTCCATAAAAAATTATCAAAAAGACGTCCTTTTTTCGAGCTCTAGAGTAGCGTTACCCCTTAAATTGTTTCGAGATGTACAACATTGTAAAGTTATGTTTTGTAGTCTCTATGTTTTGACATCGAGACATTTTTTAATATAATAAAATAAACAAATTAAATATGATATTTAATTTATGTTACTTATTACTTTCTGTTTTCCTGTTTTCCTCCATTTTTCCTTTTATTTTTGTTGAAAGTATCTAATAAGTATCTAAATTTTCAGATACTTTTTATTTATATCTATACCTAGATATAATTGTAAAAAAATATATCTATATTTACATCTAAATACTTTTCCCATACAATACTTACTTATCTAGATACCTTTCAAACGGTATCTGTTCCAACACTGATAATTAGAGTTTTTACAATAATTTTCCACATTACTTGTGAGGTATTATTATTGATGCGGTTTTTTTTAAGTGTTTTCCCCAATAGGCCTATTTCAAAGAAAATGATAAAATGACTCGGCAGGAAGGCTAAATTTTATATGGAATACATATTTCACTATACAAAATTTAGCCTTCTTGCTGAGAGTTATTTCATCATTTTCTTTAGTGGAATAGGCCTACTGAGGAAACAACTTATAAAAAAAATGCATCAACAATAGTATCTCACGGATGATGTGGGAAACTATTGTAAAAACTCTAATTATATTATACACATATTACTACAATTATATTATTATGTAGAACATTAATATATAAAAAATTATAAAATAAAAAATTTAATATTTGATTTTTTAAGAAAATGATTTATCAAGAATATTTAATAACGGAAAGTATGTTTCTGCAGCGTGTTCAAGATGAGACGCTCCTCAGCTGAAGCGTCTCGTGAGGGATCAGCGATCACTGAGATGAACTATTGTGACCTAGCGAAGGTTGCTCGTAGGAATCAGCACGAGATGTACATCTAGTGCCGACGCTTAACGAGATGTTTATTAAGCATCAAAATTTAGTTGTGATATTCAGTAGCTGCGTTTGTACGTCTAGAAAAAATTTCGATACATAGTCAATAAAACTACAAATATGGTGTAATATACATGTACATATACAGCACATATATAAATTATACTGAATTATTTAAACAAAAAAGATTTGAATTCACAAAAACATTTAAAAAATAAAATCTTTTGAGAATATTCAATTTATGTCAGATCAAGGTAATTTATAACTATATATGATATAAGTATACAAGACAGAAACATAACAATCAAATTAATAACAATTCGAAACAGAAAGTTCAATTTATCAAAACAAATCGTAGAATTCTTAGACAAAGAAATTTCTGCAAAGGAGAATCAACTCACTCAGATCAAAGTTAGTAAATAAACACACAAATTCGGATTCAATAATAATCCGAAGACAATAATTTAATAACGTTAGCATAAAATGGAACCTTAATTTCTTGCTTGTACTATTCTATAAAATTAATATGTTATGTTCTTATTTTTCATTATTTTTTATTATTCTCTGTATACTCTCTTGTATATTTTAGCTGCATTTATTTTGCACGTTCATGCGCAGTAAGCTTCATTCTGTCATTATTGATCGGTCTTGCAGGGCTATGTCCAAATTCCCATTCGAGTACCACCCAGATATATTGATTACTGAACAAGGATAACATGACACCTGGAGAGCACCTGGGAATCTATGGGAATCTGAACACGCCCTATAAAAGATAGAATGAAGCTTACAACGCGTACGCGTAAAAAAACGAATGCTGCTTTTGTCTGTTACTGGCCTAGTTTACACCTAACGACCTGACCTATACCCTAACCTATACCCCACCTAAGGAAGGTCTCGTATGGAGCGTTTACCGCATATAGACCTATAATATTTTTGGGCCTAATGTAGGTCGCATTTAGTCTCCCAATCAGCATACCATAATTAAAAAATATTTTTTAAATATTTATTTAATGTAAAATAGTTGTAAAAACATTGAATAAACATTTAAAAAATGTTTCTTAAATATGGTATGCTAATTGGGCTCACGATAGAGCCATCTATTAGTACACTTTACGCCTTTAGGCCGTCTGCTTGCGTTTACATGCGTTAAAGCTAGATAGGTCGTGCGGCCTAAGAGAGGTCAGGGATCTTGAAAAAGATCCCTCACCTAAGCGAGGTTACAGCTATTTACACCGTCGCGACCTGTCGTGTTTAGGTTAGATTTAGAGTATAGGTAGCGGCCTAAACGTAGGGTGTAAACTAGGCCACTGTTTACTAGCTTAATTATGGTAATTTTTTTTAGCTAATTAATAACTTTTTAACAGTTATTATCCTTACTTCATTCTTAAGTTGTATTTTCTCGTTATTTATAATATTTCTTTATATAAATTAAACTGCAATTCTTTGTATATCATTATATATATATATAATCTTATAAAATAGTAGAAGCAAGAAATTATTATCAATAATGAGTCAAAATTTTCAAAGACTCACTGAATAATTGAGAATTGTCTTTTTCCTTTGTCCTACGGTACAATCAGGCGTAATCAGACGCAATCAGGCGTAATACCTCCAATGCCCAAAATTTCAAAATCATGGTAACCGATCACGATCGTCACTACACGAAATTCGTATTACACATGCACCTCATCACTTCAACCTAACACATTCACGATCCGCGATCCGTCGCGATTGTCACGAGAATAATGACGCGATCCATGATCTCGCGGTCTTCCAGTCGCGTATCGCGTCTGTGCCAAATTGCGCATGCGCATTAAGCAAACCAATGGGCGCATTCAGCGGACTCAACTGAGTGAGCGCTCGCTACTACTGGTGTATTCTTCCTGATCTAAAATTCTGATTGGATGATCTAAAAGAATACACCAATAACAGCGAACGCTCACTCAACTATTGAGTCCGCTGAACGCGCCCAATGAATCCTCAGTAACGTATGTATGTACTTTGGTAAAATCTAAGAGCTGCGCAAAATAAAAGGAACAGAGAACAGAGAATAGGAATTTCAATCTTACAGAAATCATGTACTATGGAATATACACTATTTATTCCACAGTATATGATTTTTTATTTCTTCCCGTTTTTCGTAGTTATTATGAATATACAATGCTTATATAAATGCTTGAATTTGCTTGTTTTATACGAACGCGACATATATACGCCTGCGCTGTATCAATAATTCAATAAAAGAAAACAATTGTTTAAAAAAAATATTTAAAAAACGAAACATATGTGTAATAATAAAGAACTTATATAAGTCTTCGTTGTGTAGACTACTTTCCAAAACGTTCCCTTCGAGGGAAACTTTACTCGATATAAATATGTTACGTGTACTATATATTTCGAGTAAAATTTATTACCAATGGTTGCGTTAATAGCGAGCGCTCGCTATTAGCTGCGTTCGGTAATAGCAAATCTGTGCTCTTATATTATAGCATATGTCACGTGCACTATAGAAAAAGAGCACTCCGACGCCTCAGATTTGCATTGCCGAACTCAACTATTATTGGTGTATTCTTTTAGATCATCCAATCAGAATTTTTAATTTAGAAGAATGCACCAATAATAGCGAACGCTCACTCAACTGTTGAGTCCGCTGAACGCGTTTTCGTTCCGATTGGTTGAGAAATAATCCTCAATCGTCAATCACAATCGCGCAATCGCTAGTGTGATTACGGCTTTATGCATTCGTTTATGCGGCTATGCAAATTTGTGTGGATATAGCTTGAGGCGTCGGAGTGCTCTTATATTATAGCTTATGTCACGTGCACTATAGAAAAAGAGCACTCCGACGCCTCAGTTTGCATTGCCGAACTCAACTATTATTGGTGTATTCTTTTAGATCATCCAATCAGAATTTTTAATCTAGAAGAATGCACCAATAATAGCGAACGCTCACTCAACTGTTGAGTCCGCTGAACGCGCCCAGTCAATCGATGGACGGGAGAAGATTCGAATAAAAAAATCGCGGACATTACCGACACGATCGTGGACATTTGCTACATAGTTTTGTGGACACAGAGGCGCTTCAAAATAAAGTAACAGCTAAATCCCGGATTCCCGGGCATGGCCGCTCTCAGGCTTCTCTCTGTTTCTAGCATGAATGTACTCATTTGTAATTCGTAAATTTTAACTTGATGGTGTGAAGATAATTTGATGTCATAGTGTATTTATTACTGTATAAATATATCAAGTACAAGCAAAATGCCTTCGCAAGAACTTGCGATGCCGCAGCCGCCGGCCACCGAAAATGAGGAAAATAATGTTCCATCGTCGCAACCGATTGTGGGTATTATTTATCCACCACCTGAGGTTAGAAGTATCCTTTGCCAAGAACGTTATTAAAATATAAAAACTACGTTTTATTAATAACCATTACAGAATTGGATGGAAAATAATATGGAAAGTATTTTGTAAAACAATATATTTACATATATATATATATATATATATATAACAATAATAAAATTAGAAATAAGACGTATATAGAAAAGTGTATTTTGACTCCCACAAAACGCTAATTCTGTGATACTGTTTGATGTATGTCAACCGTTTGTTT